TGAGGAGTGAGGAGTAAGGAGAGAGGAGTGAGGAGTGAGTGAGGAGTGAGGAGTGAGGAGTGAGGAGTGAGGAGTGAGGAGAGAGGAGTGAGGAGTGAGTGAGGAGTGAGGAGTGAGGAGTGAGGAGAGAGGAGTGAGGAGTGAGGTGACCTCTCTGCACAGCAGCTCTCACCTGCCCTGGCAAGGAAAGGCGATAAATCGTGGCCAGCAGAGTCTGACAGCAGAGGGGTCTGGGCTCGGAGCTCAGGGGGTGCCAGGGATCCCTGGGATCCCCTCTGCTCCCAGGGGACAGGAGCTGATCCCTGGGATCCCCTCTGCTCCCAGGGGACAGGAGCTGATCCCTGGGATCCCTGCTGCTCCCAGGGGACAGGAGCTGATCCCTGGGGTCCCCCCTGCTCCCGGGGGACAGGAGCTGAGGCTCCTGCACTCCAGGTAGGAAGGAGAAGCTCAGCTCAGGAATGCGGCTCCTGCCGTCTCTGCCTCTCTGCTGCAGAGAATTCGGGCTTGAAGGGCGCTGACAGAGCGGGGAGGAGGCAAGGGGGCGAACAAAGAGAAGATGAGGAAAATCAGCTCTGACAGGTCCCTCTGGGGTTCCCAACCTTCCTTTCTCCGAAGTCACCAAGGGATCAGAAGCCTTTCAAGATCCACACGCGGTTTCTGAGGGGCTCTGCGGCACTGCTGCAGTTGCCATGGCATCAGGCTGTGGCAGAGACGGGAAAAGTTGTGATTCTGTTCCAGGCAGCCCCTGCACAAGGGGAAGGGAGCACGGAGGGCTGGGCTCGGCCCCGCACTCTCACCTTGGCCATGTGCATCAAGGCCACCCTGGGAAATCTGCCAGGGTCCCTTTCTGCACAGGCAAAGAGATTTTCTGTCCAGACATCTCTGAGACGTGACACGGCATCAAAACCTGCCTGAAACAGCCCCTGCGAGATCCTTTGGGCAAGTCAGGGATTCCCGCTCAGTTCCTGGGGAAAACATCTTTATTTACCTCTCAAAAGCAACGGAGCATCTTTTAAACATCAGAGCAAGTTCCCTGTCAGTCCCCCTCCCTCCAGCAGTGTCAGACCCACAGACACATCCCAGGGCAGCCGAGGCTGTGACTGCAGTCCAGCCCCTGCAGCTCCTGAAATGCTCCCAGACGCTGCTGCCACTCCTGAGAGCTCCCTGGAGAGGTGTAAAATCCTGCCTATAAATACATGAAAAATAACCCCGGCAGGGGCAGCACAGAGCTGCTTAAAGAGTATTTTTGGCTTGTGCTAAGAAGTGAACTGGGGACTTTCTGCTCCAGCAATTTTGCTAAGTGTGGGGATAAGGCCAGATAAAAATAATTACACCTGATAGTCCCCTGGTTCACCTGCTCCTGATTAACATCTGAATAAGAACTCTTTAAAAGATGCTGGGAGTCGCACTCAGCACAGATTTGATTTGGGTCTGATTTAGAAAAGATGGAAAACTCCTGAGTCCCTCAGAATGCTCCATGGAGCTCTGGAAGGGGGGGAAGTTCACCCAGCAGGATGAGGGATTGCTCTCCCACAGCATCGCAGAACTTTGATGAGTGAGCTGCACATGGTGCTGCCTGGGAAAGAAAGGAAGGGAATGTCCACAACCACAGCAGAGAGTGATGAGCAGAATTCAGGAGAGGAGGATTGTTCTTTAGCAAAATGGGTAGGAAAAGTCATTGAGAATTGTGTTAAATTATAGAAATCACAGTTGTGATCTGTGCTTGGATTCCTCAGCCACTGGGAGCTGGCACCTCTCCTCCTGGAGCCCAGCACGGAAATCAGACTGGTTTGGACTGGAGGGACCTCAGAGCCCACCCAGTGCCCCCCATCCATGGCAGGGACACCTCCCACTGTCCCAGGAGCTCCCAATGTCCAGCCTGGCCTTGGGCACTGCCAGGGATCCAGGGGCAGCCCCAGCTGCTCTGGCAATTCCATCCCAGCCCCTGCCCACCCTGCCAGGGAACAATTCCTGCCCAAGATCCCAAGATCCAGCCCTGCCCTCTGCCCCTGGCAGCCATTCCCTGGCTCCTGGCCCTGCAGCCCTTGGCAATTGTCTCTCTCCAGCACCTTCAGAGCTCGCAGGGGTCTGAGTTCAAAGCCTTTCTCCTGGATCAGGTACCAGGAGCAGGTCCCAGTTCCCTGGGGGCAGCAGCACCTTGATCAGGGAATTTTGTGCTCCAAGCACATGGGATTCTGGGGCTGTTCTGTGCACAGCCAGGGGCTGGACTCGATGATTCTTTTGGGTCTCATCCCACTCAGGACATTTTGTGATTCACGATTCCGTTCCCAGGGCCCTCCCGGGGGTCAGCCCGTCCCACCGAGTGTCCACCAGCCCCTGAACCTCGGCTGCCCCGCAGGAGAGAGCTGGGAGAGCTGGGGAATCCTGTACCAGAGAGCTCGGGAATCCTGTACCAGAGAGCTCGGGGATCCTGTACCGGAGAGCTGGGAGAGCTTGGGGATCCTGTACCGGAGAGCTTGGGAATCCTGTACCGGAGAGCTCGGGGATCCTGTACCGGAGAGCTCGGGAATCCTGTACCAGAGAGCTGGGAGAGCTGGGGAATCCTGTACCGGAGAGCTTGGGAATCCTGTACCGGAGAGCTCAGAGAGCTCAGGAATCCTGTACCAGAGAGCTGGGGAATCCTGTACCAGAGAGCTTGGGAATCCTGTACCAGAGAGCTTGGGAATCCTGTACCGGAGAGCTCAGAGAGCTCGGGAATCCTGTACCGGAGAGCTGGGAGAGCTCGGGGATCCTGTACCAGAGAGCTGGGAGAGCTGGGGAATCCTGTACCAGAGAGCTGGGAGAGCTTGGGGATCCTGTACCAGAGAGCTGGGAGAGCTGGGGAATCCTGTACCAGAGAGCTGGGAGAGCTTGGGGATCCTGTACCGGAGAGCTGGGGAATCCTGTACCAGAGAGCTCGGGAATCCTGTACCAGAGAGCTGGGAGAGCTGGGGAATCCTGTACCGGAGAGCTGGGGAATCCTGTACCGGAGAGCTCGGGGATCCTGTACCGGAGAGCTCGGGAATCCTGTACCAGAGAGCTCAGAGAGCTCGGGGATCCTGTACCGGAGAGCTGGGGAATCCTGTACCAGAGAGCTCAGAGAGCTCGGGAATCCTGTACCGGAGAGCTCGGGGATCCCAGGCTGTCCCAGCGGATGGCACCGCGCTCCCAGGGCAGCCCCAGCCCCGCGGTGCCCAACACGGACACACACACGGGGACAGACGGACACACACGGACACACCGACACACGGACACACACACTGACACACATTGACACACCGACACACTGACACACACACTGACACGCTGACAGACGGACATGCTGACAGACAGACCCACTGACAGACGGACACGCTGCACAGGAGCCGACAGATGGGTTTATTTGGGGTCGGGGTCGCTCGGGGGCACCGCCCGGGGTGTTCAGGGGTTCCTGTGAGCCACCGCAGCCGCCAGGCTCTGCCGGGCGAGCAGGGCTGAGCTCCCGGCCCGGCTGGACACGGGGATGGACACGGGGATGGACACAGGGATGGACACGGGGATGGACGCGGGGATGGNCAGAAAGACACGGGGATGGACACGGGGATGGACACAGGGATGGACACGGGGATGGACAGATGGACACGGGGATGGACACAGGGATGGACACGGGGATGGACAGACGGACACGGGGATGGACACGGGGATGGACACGGGGATGGACACAGGGATGGACACGGGGATGGACGCGGGGATGGACACAGGGATGGACACAGGGATGGACACGGGGATGTCCCAAGGAGCTGCAGCAGGAGAGGAGCCAGAGCTGCTCAGGGGATCCCGGCTGGGGCAGAGCTGCCGGACCCGCTGGCACCAAGGCTCTGCTGGCACCGGAACCCCCTCTGCCACCCTCCTGTGCCCCTTGGCTCCAGACAGCTTCTCCTTTATGTCTCCCTGGTTTCCTGCTGCATTTTCCCCCTCCCCGGGCCCTCTCCTTCCTGTCCCCCCAGACACCACCTGCAGCCCACAGGTTCCTCCCTGACCTCTCCCCGAGGCAGAACTGCCCTCCTGAAAGGGCTCTCATGCACCACACCCTCCTCCTTCCTCCTCCCTCCTCCTCAGCCCCTGGTTACGGGCATGGCTCACTCCCTGCTCCCTGCCACAACAGAATCCTCAGTATTTCCACAGACACCTCTGGGTTTTGGGAAAACAGAAATTTCATTCCTACAAATAAAATAAAACACAACCAGAAGGAATCTTGAACTATTTCCCCCTTTTCCAAAAGCATTTGGGTTTGGCCTGAGACCCACCCTGAAAAACACTATTTTTTTTTTCTTTTTGTCTTTAGACATAAGTGAAGAGAATGATCCCTTCTGAATTAAAAGTTTTGGAGAAGGGGGAAGTGTGGATGCCCCGTGCTGGGCAAGGCAGGACCCTGCTCCTTGGTTCTGCCTCTCTTGCTGAGGGAGTTTGGGTTTCCTGAAATGCCCTGCTGAGCTTCCCTCTGCTCCCACTCCTGCATGCCAGGCTGCACCTTCCTTCCCCTGGGGCTGTTCCCCAGCCACATCTCCTGCAGGTAACCATCTCTCCATAGCTGCCCTCCCCTGTGCTGGGCTGGCACTAAAAACGGGGCATTTTAGGGAGAAAGTCACTGCACAAAGCATCACCCCTCCCTCCTGGGTACTGCACAGGGATGCTTCCCCACCAGCCCAAGAGCGTGTCCCTGGAGAGAGGAACAGCGAGGTCTGGCTCTCCCACACAGCCCAGGGCAGGGCTGGGGCTGCAGACACAACCCTGAAGTTCTCAGGGTCCACGAGCTCGGACAGAGGGGAGCAGGTGTCCTTGAGGCTGTTCCTGGACAGCAAGAACACCGGGGGAGCAGGAGGGGCTGGCACTGAGAAGGGACCTCTGGTTATCCCGAGCTCCAGAGCTTTATCCCATCCCCTCGGTGAGGGTGGTCCTTCCACGCTCCAGCACGGGCCCCTGCAGGAGCCCCAGCAATGATCCATCAGCACTGGCCACGGGCAGGGGCTCAGGCTCTGAGCTCTGAGCTCTGAGCCTCGTGCCCCAGCTCTCTGAACACCGGGCTCTGCCTGGTGTCCATGGAGTGGTGAACGTTTGGGCCAAAGCAGAGCCACGATCTCAGAGGGGTCTGAAGTCAGCAAACCCTGCAGGACCCTGCCCTGCCCAGGGTGTCCTTGCACCCCCAGGAGTGTGCTGCAGCTGCTCAGAGGATGCTCAGGCTCTGCAGCCAAAACCTGCATTAGCCCCATTCTCCTTCTCCTGGAACAGAACTTGACCCCCTTGGTTCATTTGTGCCTTTTGGAGCAGAAGGATCACAGCTGGACTTCAGCTATCAGGGTTGGTCCCTTCCAATTCAAGATATCCTAAAAGACAGAAGCTCAGAATGCTTTTGGGTTGGAAGGACCTTAAATAAAGGTTTGGAGGGACCTTAAAGCTCACCCATGCTGGGCAAGGCCCCTTGGCTGGGACAGGATGAGACAGTATCAACCCATTCCTGCTGCCATCAGCCACATCCAAAAAGAGCAGTGAAACGGGCTTGGAACACCAGGTTTGTTGCTGCAGGTTCTGCTGTGGGCTCTAAAAACATCAAAAGCTCAGCTCAGGGATGCCCAGTGTGTGGGGGAGCCCCTCCTGAACCTGCCAAGTTCCACATTCCCCCTCTCCTGGAGATGTTTGGGTTCCCCTGACACGCCCTGGGGCATGCCAGGGGTGAAGCACCCTGTCCCGGAGCAATGCCCTGGGGAGATTTCCTCTTTTGTTTTCTCCATAAAGCCCCAAGAAACGCCATTCCTGCTGAAATCAGGCAGAGGTTTTAATCCCAAAGGTGCCAGGGTCAGTGCACTGTTTTCCTGTTGTTTTCCAGAGGGTTTGGGCTGGGCTAAGGAAGAGCTGCTGAGTCCTGTCAGACTGGGCTGAGCAGGCTGCAGCAGAGCCACAGGGATAACCAAGCTCCTCTCACACATCACCACTTCCTCCAGGGACCATCTCCTGCTAAGTGTCTTCTGCACTGAAAATACGGCAGGAAAAGCAATTAAAAGAAAGCAAATAGCAAGGGAGATCTCCAGCCTGACAATATCTTTTTCCCATGCTAATTGCAGACTTTATTTTTAGTGAATTAGGAAAGGATAATCTTCATTAGATTTGCTTACATCTGCCTTTTCTCCAGAAAATCCAGTTCCCAGAGCTGGGGGCTGGAGCACCATGACAAATCCAGTCGGGCTCAGCCTGGCCCAGGCAGGAAGAGGGGATGTGCAGGGAAAAGTCTGCCAGGCTGCCACCAGCACCCACCCTCCTGCAGCCCCTCACCAGCCCCACCAGGAGCTGGGTGCTGCCCACAGGGATGTTCTGGCACCAGGAATGGGAGCAGGAAAAGCAGCGTGGGGAGAGGAGATCCCACAGGATTTCTGTGCTGGGGCACTTGGAGCAGGGTGTCATCCCAGCTGGGAATGGAGATGGGAGTGAAGGCAGCACCAGGGAGAGCTGCTCCCATCCTGGTGAAGGGAATGCCAGAACCTTGGAGGTCTGCTCAGGTTGTAGGATCTGGAATGATGGAATGGGTTGGGATGGAGGGACCTCAAATCCCACCCATTCCCAGCCCAGCCATGGCAGGGACACCTCCCACTGTCCCAGGAGCTCCCAATGTCCAGCCTGGCCTTGGGCACTGCCAGGGATCCAGGGGCAGCCCCAGCTGCTCTGGCAATTCCATCCCAGCCCCTGCCCACCCTGCCAGGGAATAATTCCTGCCCCAGATCCCAAGATCCAGCCCTGCCCTCTGCCCCTGGCAGCCATTCCCTGGCTCCTGGCACTCTGTGCCTTGTCCCCAGTCCCTCTCCAGCTCTGCTGCCCTTCCTACCCCCAGACACCTCACCTGCAGGACGAGTCCTGCTCATTCAAACAGTTCACTCATCTCTGCCTGAAGTCCATGAACAATCATGATCATAGTCACGAAGCTGATGAAAAGTCATGAAGTATCTGGGGGTTTGGTGACTCTGAGCCTGCCCAGTCTCCCTGCAGGGAGAGAAATCCTTTGGGATTTGCTGTGAATCTTCTCCTTCCGCGTGTGTACCTCAGCAGCAGGGACAGAATGCCTCTGTCTTTGGGCGTCGTGACTGAGAAAGGGCATTTATGGCTCACAGGCGCTTCCAACACCTTCCCGTGCATCAGGGGCAGGGACTGGAGTGCCCAGAGATGTGGGTGAGGCAGAGACAGAGCACGGTGCAGGCTGGGTGCCAGAAATGCTGGGATGAACAGCTTTGCCCGATGCTCTCCCTTAGAAGCGAGTGCATCCTTCCAGCCGAGCTTTTGCCGCGTCATGCTCTGCTCAGATGTGCTTCCCATGCCAAGAACAAACCCTACCCGAAAGCCCTGCTCTGCAGACACCTAAACCCACCCAGGACTCCCATCCAGGAAATTAAGTCGCTGCTCTTGGCAGAATTGGGCCCCCCCAAATTGCAGAGTGGGTGGTGCAGGGTGGGAGGGACTCGAATAAACAAAGTCTGGACAGGCCTTGATAGCAAAATGTTTATCTCCAACCTGCCCCCACCCAGCTGGCTGCTGGGCCTGTGTGACTCAGCTGATTTTGGGTAGCTTTTATGCCAGGGATGAGCCAGGGTAGATGAAAGTCTTCAATTTATCTTCCCCTCAGAAAAATACGACTCCTCTCAGTTTCCCTCGTCTAAGAGAGACATGCAGGTTCTGCAGTAAAATTCTGAGCAGTTCCTCCGTGCAAAGTCCCCGGTGTGTGACCCCGGGGTGGCAGGACTTTATCAAGCCAGCATCCTGAAAGAACAATTTCCAGAGGCAAATCCCACACAAACCAACAAAACCACCCAGAACAAAGGCAGGGGTGCTTTCTGTGACCCTGCTGAGGCTGACGGCCCAGCCAGCCGTGCCCCCAAGCCCTCCATCCCCCCAGGAACGCTCAGACGCACAGGAGACTTCACAGGATGAGCTTTATTTGGCTGTTAGAAGCTGTTGGCTCGGGCTGGCAGCGCGCTCCGCGGGCGCCGCCGGCCGCTCCTGCGGCTCTTCAGTGGTATTTGCGGGCCAGAGCGTGGGCAACCACGCGCACCAGCTTCTGCCAGGCGGCCTGGCAGTCGGGAGTGAAATCCTTGCCGAAGTGGGCGGCCAGGACGATGATCAGGATGTCACCCAGGAGCTGTGGGGACACGAGCAGGTTAGCAATGCCCTGTACGTCCCCACACGAGCGCTCACATTACAGACAGGGAAGCCTCTGGGAAATCTGCAGTCTTAAAAACCTCCCCCAGCTCCTTCTTAAGATGCACCTTAAACTTGGTCTCTGCTCTGTCTCTAAAGGTTTGTGTTCTGCTACCTCAGGGGAAGAGTAACCAAAAATTCTTCAGGGTTTTTTGGACTAAATTTTTCTTTGTCCCTTCTGGCTTTGTTTTGGAGTTTCTCTCGAGCAGAAGACCCAGCCAAGCTCCAGGCACAGCAGGAGCCGGAGCTTGGCCCCACAGAGCCGTGGCACAAACAGGGAGCTCATGCTGGCACAGGGGATTCCTGCCAGCCCCAGCCCAGGGACAAACGGTGGGGTTTATTCCCCACTGAGATACCTTCAGCCAAAGTTCTCTCTCGGTAGATGCTCTTTGGCTTTTGCCATCCAGCCGCCACCTCCTGCTCCTCACTCATCTCTCTGTCCTCCTCTGTGCCAAGACTTTGCTCTTGCTCCTTCTCCTCCCCCTGGCTCAAACCTCTTCCTGCTCAACAGCTGCTTTCACTTTGTTCTCCATTCCCTCGCTGACACCACGTCCTCCCCTTCCCGTCCCCGTCCCGCAGCCCCTGCCACCCCTCTGCCTTCCCAGCAGGCTGCACCACATCCCTTCCCTCTGTCCCCCTGCACCTCCCCATGGCAGCCCCCAGCCCCTTCCCTCCTGCCCTGGGCTCAGGCTTAGGGGAGACGCTGCAATGGGGAGCTCAGGGCACAGCTCACCCTGAAGTTCTCGGGGTCCACGTGCAGCTTGTCGCAGTGCAGCTCGGACAGCTGGGAGAAGGTGTTCTTGATGCTGTCCAGGTTCTTGACGGCCTCCCCGAAGGAGGTGAGCACCTTCTTGCCGTGGGCCTGCACCTTGGGGTTACCGACGATGGCGGTGGCGCTGGACAGGTTCCCGAAGGAGGCGAAGAACCTCTGGGTCCAGGGGTAGACGATCAGCAGCCTGGGGAGAGACACAGACACGGTCACACCGACGCTCCCGTGACAGGAGAGGTTTCCCCGTGCAGGCAGCAGGTTCCCGGAGCTGGACCTACCTGGCCAGGGCCTCGCCGCCGCACTCGGCGACATTGACCTTCCCCCAGAGGCCGGTGATGAGCTGCTTCTCCTCGGCTGTCCACTGCACCATGGTGCTGGCAGGTGGGTCGTGTGCTGGCTGCGGAGGAAGTCTGGGCTCTTGCTCCCGAAGGATGGCACGCTGGACAGCCGCTCTCCCAGCCCGCTTTTATGCGCTGCGCTGCGCCCCTCCTCTCCCCCGAGCGCCCCTCCATTGGCTGGGCTGGGGGGCCCAGCCTGGCGCCCCAGGGAGGGGAGCCAGCATCAGGGTGGGGCCCCAGGGCAGGGTGCCCAGATCCAGCGCTGGGCTGGGCTGGCCACCCAGCCTCTGATTTGCAGCCCCGCTGCAGGGTGGCTTTATCTCCACACAGAGTCCCAGCTCCCAGGGGAGCCCCCGGGATGGTGCCCACCCAGCTGCGGACCTGGGGCTCTTGGGCTCTCTGAATTCACCAGTTTCTCCTTCTCCTCTTCTTGCAGGACCTGTGAGGCTTTGGGCACTGCCTCTGCTCTCCCATCAGCTCTTTAAGAGTTTGATTAACTTCAGGATGACACTGCTAAAAGCACGGCAAGGCCTTGCAGCCAAGAGGGAGCTCCTGTCTCAGAGAACCTCTTGGCAAAGGTCCTGGAAAGGAGAGCTTATAACCCAGGGCAAACCAAGTGCAGGGGGTTGGCTCACAGGGCATGAGGAGAGCTGGGAAGACTGGGATTACTGGGATCCCACAGAATCCCAGGATCCCTGAGGCTGGAAAAGCCCTCCCAGCCCAGGGAGTCCCAGCTGTGCCCGATGCCCACCTTGTCCCCAGCCCAGAGCCCTGAGTGCCACGTCCAGCCAGCTCCCTGGGCAGCCCCTGCCAAGGCCTGAGCTCCCTTTCCAGGAAGAAAAATCATCGGCACAGATGTGCAGCCTGAGACAGTGCCTGACCCAGGGGTTCCACAGCCCGGTGATCACTGGTGTTCCTGAGAAGTGGGAGAGGCAGCCGGGTCTCCTGGGGCTGCTCTTCTGCTCCTGCACCCAGCTGGAGGTGGGAGGTGGCGTGCAGGGGACAGGGATGGAGCTCATGGGGCACAAGAATGCCCTGGTGGGGTCTGGATGACCTTGGAGCAAAGTGTTTGAGTTCCTGCTCCTGCAGGAGGGGGCTTGGCCAAAGGACCGGGGTCAGTCTGGGGGTGACAGTGTTCCCCAGCCCTCTGCAGCCAACACTGGTGTTTCATGGAATCACAGGATCCCAGACTGGTTTGGGCTGGAAGGGACCTTAAATCTCATCCAGTCCCATGCCCTGCCTGTAACCTTCCACTAACCCAGGTTTTGTCCAAATCCCATCCTGCTGGAGTCTGGAATACAGAGTTTATGCCCTTGTTTCTAATACTTAGTTATAAGATCTAGAAAAACATTGAATTTCATATAATATGAAATTCATGAGCATGTTTTCATGGTAATACATGAAAACAAATGTTAAAGTTAGATAGAAAAAGCTAAAAGTGTAAGTGTGTAGATTAGAAAGCTTTTTAAATCACTGGGTGAAAAAGTTAGTTTAGAGAACAGGAGACAAGATGGAGGATTTTGGGTGTTGTCCCTTGTCCCTTCTTCTTTCTTCTTCATGTTCTTTTCCTACAGGTTTTTAGGTAATACACATCCAACCGTGTCTGTCACATTCTGCCTTTGCTAATCTAAGAGTGACTTTAAAAACCCCCATGCCAAGAGAAGGCCACACGCAGGAAGTTACGAGCCATGGCCCCACTCTCCCTGGCACTTCTCCCACTGCACACTTTTGTACAGCCCCACTCCACTCACTTTGTGAAAGTCCTAGAACATTAAACCGAGCAATGTTACCTAATGTGTCCAAAAAGTGCCAGAGTTTTTTACAAACAATCCTGTTTGTATTTTGTGGTGTTTATTAGGGTTTTGTCCTGAACATTCCCCTGGGATCTCCACCTTAGACAAGTTTCACTTGCATGAATGAGATCGTGGCTTGTGTTATCCCACGTTTGCGAGCTCCCCCAGCCCCGCTGTCCCTCCATCCCCATTCCCACAAAGAGCCAGACATCTCCTGGTGGCTGGAGCAGCTGGTGTTTATTCGGAGGTCAGAGGCCAGCAGAACCCGAGGAGGACTCCCCAGGCAGGAGGGCTCCCAGGAGCTCAGTGGTACTCGTGGGCCAGCGCGTGGGCCACCACACGGACCACCTTCTGCCAGGCGGCCTGGCAGGCGGGGGAGAAGTCCTTGCCGTAGTTGGCAGCCAGGACGATGATGAGGATGTCACCCAGGAGCTGGCAGTGGAGGGAGAAGAAGCTGTCAGCTGCTGCTGCCCCACATCCCTCCCCAGCCCCGCTGAGGTCTCTGGGGACGTCACAGCAAAGCAAGGGGTGGATTTATCCCGGCCCCGTGCAGGGCACCGGGCTCCTGGCACAGCTCCTGCTCTGCCACGTGCCAGGGTCCCTGGGTGTGCTGGATCCTCCCCCCAGCACCTTCCCTCACCTGCTCTGTGCTGTTCTCCCTCGCCTTCTACCGGGTTGACCCCTTCCTTTTCCATCCTTACCCACCCTGGCTGCCCCAGGCTCAGAACCCTCCTGCCAAACTGGCTGTGCTTTTTTTCCCTTCTTTTTTCCCCTTCCCTTCTTTTTCCCTTCTTAAAAATCTTTAAAACTCTCAAAGTTTTTCCTTTAAACTCCTGTGAGTGGAGTTTAACCACTCCCTCACAGCCAAGCTCAGCTCTTCCCTCTAAATCCCATCTCAGTTCCTTCCCTTCTGGCTGCTCCAAGATGTTCCTTCTGACCAGGACACGTTTGTCTCTGCATTTCTCCCCGTTCAGCTGCCTGGCTGCTTCCTCTCACAGACCCCAGCCCCAAAACTCCTCTTTGTCCCCCCAAACATGACTGTCCTGTCCCCTCCCCTGCCCCTATCCCCCCCAGGCTCTCAGGCAGCCCCAGGGTTTCTCTCGAGGTCTCACTGATGGTCAGACCCCTCTGAGACCCCCGAAGCACCTCCAGAGCTTCAGCAGGAACCTCGGGCTGGAGCTGAGCATGGCTCACCCTGAAGTTCTCGGGGTCCACGTGCAGCTTGTCGCAGTGGAGTTTGCTCAGCTGAGCAAAGCATTTCTTGATGCTGTCCAGGTTCTTGATGGCCTCCCCGAAGGAGGTGAGCACCTTCTTGCCGTGGGCACGGACCATGGGGTTGCCGCTGATGGCCGTGGGGCAGGACAGGTTCCCGAAGTTCGAGAAGAACCTCTGGGTCCAGGGGTAGACGATCAGCAGCCTGGGGAGAGATGAGGGACACGAACAGACATAGAGACACAGATGTTCCAGGGAGAGGTTTCCCCGTGCAGGCAGCCGGTTCTGGAGCCCGACCCACCTGGCCAGGGCCTCGGCGCCGCACTCGGCCACGTTGACCTTGGCCCAGAGGCCGGTGATGAGCTGCTTCTCCTCGGCTGTCCAGTCCACCATGGTGTGAGCAGAGGGGCTGCCCGCAGCGATGGACGTGGCCCCGAGGCTGCCCCGGGGATTTTTATACACGGCTTGGCCTAATCTCAGCCCACGGAGCCACGGCTCAGGGCTGGGGAGGGAGCGGGGCTGCACGGGCAAAGATAGCGGCTTTGGAGGCTGTCCAAGGGGGAGAGAGGCCCCTTCCCCCTCTGTCTCGGAGTGGACAAGCATCACCTCAGCCACGAGCACAGGTGGAGCTGCGGCTCCAGCCCTGGGGACCCCAGGGTGGCTCTGGCACCCGCCTGGGGAACGCCATCCCCTCCTGCCAAGTGAATCTCTCAAGGTGCTTTGCACATGGTATTGTGGAACCCCAGATCTTAAAGCTCATCCAGTGCCACCCCCTGCCATGGTCAGGGACACCTTCCACTGTCCCAGGCTGCTCCAGCCTGGCCTTGGGCACTGCCAGGGCAGCCTCAGCTTCCCTGGGCGTCCAGAGAACCTCTCCAGCAGCTGCATTAGTGCCCCGGGGCACTTACCCGCAGACATTAGCCACAAACATGACTTTAAACTCCCTGAGAAAGAATTCCAAGGGCTTCTGAATTTGAAGATTATTCAGCCATGGAGAAATCTTAAGGACATTTGCTGTTCTGGGCTGGCCCAGAGGCTGTTTGCAGCAGTGGCCACTGGTCCACGGCACCATCAGCCCCACTGGGGCAGATACAGCCCCCAAGTGCCTGTGAGGGTGGCAGGGTGAGCCTGGTCAGGACTGCACCAGCTCTGAGCAGTCCTGGACCCTGTGAGACCTGGAAAAAACCAAAGGCAAGCACAGCCCAGACAGTCCCAGCCTTGGGCTCACCCTGGTGCTTCATTTGTTTTTATAAGAAAGAGTTAATTTGAAGTATGATTTTAAATGCCCGGGAGGCAGCAGCGTGGCTGGGAGGTTTTGGAGCTGCCAGCTCAGGGACTGCCTGCTCAGGGAGCTCTCTGGACACTGGCTGGGAGGGGAAATGTTCATCCCAATGTGCTGAGCAGGGACAGCTCCTGTAGCTCGTTCTGAGTCTGCAGAGTCAAAAGGAAAACTCCTTTTGCCCAGTGCAACCCCAGCAACACCTGACAGCTTATTCCCAGCTGGTCCCCAGACAGGAAAGCAGGCCCTGCTCTCAGCCTGGGATGGATTTCACCATGCTCAGGACCCTTCCCTCGAGCATTCTTCCAGCTGGGTGCTCCCTGTGGTGTGGGTGGAAGATCTCCCAGCTCCTGGAATCACAGGATCATGGAATGGTTTAGGTTGGAAGGGATCATCAAGATCATCTCATTCCACCCCCCTGCCACAGGCAGGGAACCTTCTGCCAGACCAGGCTGCTCGAATCTTGGCCCCTTCCACGGACAAGAACCTTCCCTTTCAGAGACAAACCATCCCACCCAGGGCCAAAGGCAGCTCCAGTGAGGGCCCTTCTGCCCCAAGCAGAGTTTCTTGGTCCCTGATTGCAGCAGTGTCCCCGCCAAGCTTTACAGAGCCCTTATCAGCAGCAGTGGCAGCTGTGCCCAGCTCTGCTCTGGAGCCAGGCCAGCCTCCACTCTCCTCCAGAATCTCCACTCTCCACAGGGCCTTGTGTCTTAAGCCAGAAGGTCCTGAAGGTGTCTTTGCTCCTGTTTTAAAATCCCAGAAGGGTTTGGGTGGGAAGGGACCTCAGAGCCCACCCAGTGCCAGCCCAGCCATGGCAGGGCCACCTCCCACTGTCCCAGCTGCTCCCAGTGTCCAGCCTGGCCTTGGGCACTGCCAGGGATCCAGGGACATCCTGCATCCAGGGCTCTCCTGTGCTCTCCTGACCTGTTCTGGGTCAGGTGGGCTGGTGGTATTGGTAACTTCGCTCCGTCACACCAGAGAGGGAGGACTGTCACTGGCAGGGTGGGACACGGGGCCCCCCTGGCAGCACCCCCTGTCCCTGGGCAGCAGGAGCAGCCAGGCACAGCCCAGCCAGCAGGACGTGCTCCACGTCACCAGCGGGACATGCAGGAGAGGGGCAGCACAAAGGTCGGGATGTGGACACTGAGATGAAAAGTCATAGCCCCCAACCAGGGACCAGCCCTGGACACCCCAACAGGCCTGGGGGTGCTGCTGGGTGCCCCCACCACCCAGCTCTGTGTTGCTGGAAAATTCCAAGGCTTTGAACTGGAATGCTGAGAATGGTCTGAACTCCTGCAGTCCTGCTGGAACGCCCATTGCTGGGTGAAGGGAGAAGCTGTGCTGCAGGGAAGCTGGGTTCAGATTTTGGGCTTTTTTCCTGATTCTTTTCCCCCTTGGTGCTGCCGGCAGGGCTGGACCTGCCTGGCTGTGCAGGATAGAGGGGTTAAATGCAAATCCCTGCTCTATCAGCAGAAAGGCAGAATATTCATTCCTAAATCATGCAGAGCAAGGGTTTCACCATTTGAGACACTAACATGCCCGTCTTTCCTTGTTGCTTTTTAGGCTGTTCCTGGAAAAACATTGCTGAAATGGAGATGCTTACACAGAAACTTTCAATTCCAGTGAAAAGATGTGCTTCCATTAAGCCAAAATGAGTAAAAAAAGGCTCTAGCCCATCCTGTCTGAAAGCTGCTCTTCCCCTGCTCTTGGGATCTTACACATTCCAGATATCAAACTCTGATCAGGATGCACCAGTTTCCATCACTGATGCAGAAACTACTCTTGATCAATTTAATACATCACTAGCAAACTATGGAGGGGTAGATTTCTGCCGAATCAGTGAATCTCTACAAATTTATATCCTTGCAAATATCCCAGGAGGAGAGGCCCAGGGCCCACAGAGACACAGAACACAAAGAATTGCAGAAAATGTAGTTTTTATTGCCTGTCACAGACACAGATGCCTCCCGAGGCTTCAGTGGTACTTGTGGGCCAGGGCATGGGCCACCACCCCAACCAGCTTCTGCCACGTGGCCTGGCAGGCGGGGGTGAAGTCCTTGGCGAGGTGCGTGGCCAGGACGATGACCAGGATGTCCCCCAGGAGCTGAAGAGGGGAAGGCAAGAGGGAAATCGGGTCAGCAGGTGCCAGCCCCCCTCACCCTGCACAGCCCCCCAGCACCAGGGGACCCCAGCCCCCAGAGGGTCCCGGGGCTGTGCCCAGGGAAGCTCTGTCAGCTGCAGGACAAGAGCCCCGTGCTGGCCCTGGACACGAGTATCCACCTGCTCCATCTCTGCTTCCCCTCACGTTTCCCAGCTGCTTGACATTTTTCTGCCTTGCCTTTTCCTGCTGTGAATCCCCACACCTCCTTCAGCTGAGGGTCAGTGCCAGGTCCACCTTCTATCTCCCCAAAGCCAGGCTGAAGCAGAGGCTGAAGCAGAGGCTGAAGCAGAGGCCAACATCCTGCTCCTTTTCTCCAGCCGTGCCTGTGCAGGCCCCCAGACTTCTGGAGAACCTCTCTGTGTTTGTCACCAAATTTGTCCCTGCAGTCCAGAGCCTGGTACTGCCCTGCATGATTGAATTCCCAGCCTTTCCCTGTCCCCCAGTGCCCACTCCAGCCAGCCATGCCCTGTTTGCTAACTGAACCCAACCACACAAGTTATTGATGCCTGTTGGGAACCCCCCCGGGCACTGAGGTGCTCTGAGGAAGGAGGAACAGAGGCTCCAAGGACAGCTCACCCTGAAGTTCTCGGGGTCCACGTGCAGCTTGTCACAGTGCAGCTCAGACAGCTTGGAGTAGGTGCCCTTGAGGTTGTCCAGGTTCTTGATGGCCTCCCCAAAGGAGGTGAGCACCTTCTTGCCGTGGGCACGCACCTTGGGGTTACCGACGATGGCCGTGGGGCTGGACAGGTTCCCGAAGTTAGAGAAGAACCTCTGGGTCCAGGGGTAGACGATCAGCAGCCTGGGGAGAGACACAGGGGGAAGCAGATGGTTAAAGCCCCCGGACTGGGGCGGTTTCCCCGTGCAGGTGAGCGGGGCGGGTTCCCGAGCCAGACCCACCTGGCCAGGGCCTCGGCACCGCACTCCTCCACGCTGAGCTTGGCCCAGACGCTGGTGATGAGCTGCTTCTCCTCGGCTGACCAGTGCACCATGGTGGTGGCTTTGCTGGGCTGGACACGGAGCCTGGAGCTGAGCCCAGACCCTGCCGGGTTTTTATCCCCTGTCCTGGCGCTGCCCGGCCCCTCCAGCGGGGCCATTGGCTGGGCTGGGCGGGGGTCCCTGCTGGGGACTGGCCGGGCAGTGGTCACTGCAGTGAGCCTTAACAGGCCAGCCCAGGACACAGGAGCTCTTATCTCCCTCTCCTTGGGCCCTGGCTGCCTGTTCACCACAGGCATGGACATCCCACCCATCCCTGCAACAGGCACAGACCCCTCAGAGAGGGCTTTAGAGTCATGGGATAGTCTGGGTTGGAAAGGACTTTAAAGCTCATCTTGTTCCATGTGCCATAGGCACCCTATGCCAGGTTGCTCCAAGCCCAGTCCAGCCGGGCCTGGGACGCTTGCAGGGATGGTGGCAGTGAAGCAGAGGGCACCTCCTCAGCTCCAGGTTTCCAGGAACGCCTGTGTGGGCTGCCAGGGTGGGCTGCAGCTGTGAGCAGGCTCCTCTGCTCTGTCCGTGTGAGCCCTTCAGTGATCTCTCCCTGCTGGGAATGAAAAGCCGTGCACAAGGACAGCAGGACCCTGCCATGTCACAGCCCCATCAGCAACATCCCCCAGGCTGAGGTGTGGCTACAGGCACACCTGGACTCTGGCTGTCACCTGCACTGCTGCTCTCCTGCCTTCCAGGCCTCCAGGGAAGCTGTGCTCCCATGCTCAGAAAGGCAAAGCCGGGATGCTTGAGGTGTCAGGCATCCAGAGCAGGCTGGATGGAGCAAGCTGGTCTGGTAGAATGTGTCCCTGCCCATAGCAGGGAGCTGGAACTGGTGATTATCCAACCCAAACCATTCCATGATTCTTTGAATCTGTGGCTTTGGGTCTGTCTGTGGGCAGTTTAAGAAACCTCATCCAGACCTCTGAAATCTTCCAGTTACAGACTGATACTGGACCACTGATCTGAGAAGGCTGGACAGGAACTTTTTATATGGGGAGGCAGAAATAGGAGCCAGGGAATGGCTGCCAGGGGCAGAGGGCAGGGCTGGATCTTGGGATCTTGGGCAGGAATTGTTCCCTGGCAGGGTGGGCAGGGGCTGGGATGGAATTGCCAGAGCAGCTGGGGCTGCCCCTGGATCCCTGGCAGTGCCCAAGGCCAGGCTGGACATTGGGAGCTCCTGGGACAGTGGGAGGTGTCCCTGCCATGGCTGGGGTGGCATTGGGTGGGGTTTAAGGTCCCTCCCAACCCAAACCAGTCTGGGATCTCATTGGAGACACAGTGGCACAAGCCCATCACCCTGATCCCGCTGGGGCATTCACATCTGTAGTCACATTTTAGCTGCTCACCACAGGGTTCTGTAAGACATTATTAATTTTTTCCATTTCTGGGTGGTGGGAGAGGCCCCTTCAGCAGCCCCAGGCAGGCTCTGATAGCCCGGGCAGGGGCTGTGTGGGGCAGATAAAGGTATCATCAGGAGCCCGGTGCTGGCTGAGCTCCTCACCTACAGAGCAGAGACAAGACACACCCGTGCTGCTGAAGAGATCTGAGGACTCCAGAAGTTGTCCAAATCCATCCTACAGAGCTCCAGGGAGTGCGATGGAATGTGTGCAGCCCTGAATTCCCAGGCAGACATTCCCATCACGTGAGCTGGCTGGCAGCTGCTCGCCCAGCTGGGGATGACAATAAATGGCCTCAGTGGCCTCTGCATTTATTACTTCTCTGTAGCCTGAATTGCCTGGCATTGAAATTAAAACCCAGGCTGCATCTGGGGCCATTCTCAGCAATGCACTCGCCTCCTCTCTGACAGGAGATTCATTTTCAGCTCTGCAAGGCTGAACTTTAAAAGGGAAAAGATAATGATGCTTTTCTGCTGCATCTGAACCAGCAGCAGGAAAAAGCTCAGGGAGGGGCAGCAGGACAGTGAGCCTGGGACAGGGAGGACAACATCAAACCCAGAGGCTGGAGGAGTGTTAACTGCAGCACTAATATTATCTTTAAATGTGGTTAATAAATTCTGGGTTTCTGGAGTCTGTTGAAAACAGGCAAGGGCTTGGCTTGTGGTGAGAAGCCTGCAGGTCTGGACCCGTGCTGTGACCCATCAGGGGCTGGTTTTACTGGTGTGGGAGCAGGGTGACTTTCCATGGATGGCTAATGACGGCCATAAAGAGCTGAGGGGGAAGGAGGAAGGCAGAGGAAACAGGAGGAAGAGAGGCAAAAGTAATTTTCATTCAGACAGGCCCATTCCATGCTGCTCTCCTGTACTGATCCCTTTAATGGTTGGTTTTATCCCCACAGCAGCTCTTTAACTTCTAAATCCCTTCAGATGGGCACAATAGCAAAGGAATAACAGCAGGTGGATCAGGCACTTAATCGGATTAGGGTTTTGTCTCTGCATGAGGAGAGTCTGGCGTGGCCATGGCCTTTTGCAGCCACTCTGTAAATGGACACATCAGCTCCAGGCAGCCCACTGGCCCCTTTGGCTGTGGCATTAGCCTGGTGCCTGGCATGAGCTCGGAGGTGGAGGTGATTCCCCAGGGAGGGCTGGCCTCAGCCCCGTGCCTGGGGCTGCAGGGGACACCAGGAGCCCCTGGAGAAACTGGAGAGGGGCTGGGGCCAAGGGCTGCAGGGCCAGGAGCCAGGGAATGGCTGCCAGTGGCAGAGGGCAGGGCTGGATCTTGGGCAGGAATTGTTCCCTGGCAGGGTGGGCAGGCCCTGGCACAGGGTGCCCAGAGCAGCAGAGCAAAGCCAGATGCTCCCAGACTTTAGGGAAAGGGGCAGAGCAGCTGCTCTAAACCCATTCAGGATGTGGTCAGGGACAAATCTGAGTAATGCAGCAACAAGTGCATCTGAATCAGCACAATTTGTACAACTTTCCCTGGCTGGGACTGGTTGTTGCCTGAACGTGGTAGAAAAGAATTTCTGGAAATGCAGTTTTTTCCTTAGAAGGGACAGGGATACTGGGAGGCACCACAGGCAGCAGAGGTGTGGGGGCTCCACAGGGGAGACTCCAGGCAGGCTGGAATTTTAGAGCAGAGAGCTGGATGCCATCCCCATGAGGAGAGTTGTTTCCTTCAGCGTGAGGCACTCTGCTCTCAGCACAAAGATATTCCTATTTTTTTTTCTCTGCTGTAACAATCAGGGGAAATGCAGCAGAGGTTAAATGAATTCTTCTCTGGCCCTAACAAAGTTCTCTCATTTCAGGATCCAGATCTAAGCCTTGGTATTTTCTAGGTCTGACTCCAGGAGGTGTGGAGCACCCCTTGCTCTGACTGCTCCAGCTTGGCTTTCATGCCATGTAATCATAGAAGCATGGAATATCCTGAGCTGAAAGGGACAGAATCCCAGGATCCCTGGTGCTGGAAAAGCCCTCCCAGCCCAGGGAGTCCCAGCTGTGGCCGATGCCCACCTTGTCCCCAGCCCAGAGCCCTGAGGGCCACGTCCAGCCCTTCCTTGGGCACCTGCAGGGATGGGCACTGCAAAGCTCCCTGGGCAGCCCCTGCCAAGGCCTGAGCTCCCTTTCCATGGGCAAATTCTTCCTGAAAAAGGACCTACAAGGCCCATGGTGTCCAGCTTCTGGCCCTGCCCAGGACTGCCCCAAGAATCCCAACACGTGCCCCACTTCTCATACAAACATGTTTTAATTGACTTGGAGCCTTTCACCGTATTGCTTTAATTTCTTAGGAAATCTCCGGGGTCTGGAATGTGTGTCCTGGGTAACACTGCTGGGTGCTGGGGGTGGCATGCAGCAGAAATGCACCAGGAACCTGCCCCAGCCTTGCTGGTGCCTCCCTGTCCCTGTGTCCCTGCAAAGGGAGCTACCAGGACGTGCTCAGCCCGGGAGCCCCCGGCCCGAGGGGTCCAGAGCCGTGTGAGGTTACACCAGGTGAGGCACAAGAGCCAGGATGTCTGGGGGGAAGCCAATCTTAGTGAAACTGCCTCTGAGTTATCCCTCACCACAAGAACTGGGGCAAAACCATCCAGAAATGGGCAAAAGCAGGACTTTTACTGCAGACAAGCTCTCTTAGGGCAGAGGTTCTCCTCGGTGGTTTGCTCTCCCCCTCGCCCTCGCTGGGGTCCGGCTCAGCACAGGAGGGACACTGTGGCTGGAGGGGACACGGCAGGGGGACAGCTGGAGGGAGGGACACGGCGGTGGGGAGGGAGGGCCAGGACGGCGGGGCTGAGGGAGGCAGCTGTGTGTTCCAGCTGTGTTCCAGCTGTGCCCAGCTGTGTGTTCCAGCTGTGTTCCAGCTGTGTTCCAGCTGTGTGCTCCAGCTGTGCATTCCAGCTGTGTGTCCAGTGTGTGCTCCAGCTGTGTGTTCCAGCTGTGCCCAGTGGTGTGTTCCAGCTGTGTGTTCCAGCTGTGCCCAGCTGTGCATTCCAGCTGTGCGTTCCAGCTGTGTGTTCCAGCTGTGCATTCCAGCTGTGTGTTCCAGCTGTGTGCTCCAGCTGTGTGCTCCAGCTGTGTGTTCCAGCTGTGTGCTCCAGCTGTGTGTTCCAGCTGTGCCCAGTGGTGTGTTCCAACTGTGTTCCAGCTGTGCCCAGCTGTGCATTCCAGCTGTGCGTTCCAGCTGTGTGTTCCAGCTGTGCATTCC